CAGTTATTGATCCGTGTAAATATTTGCGGCTTTCTTCAGGAGTTGGACTTGCTAACTTTTTCAAAAACACTCTGCTACATTTCAGTAATTGAAGTATTTCATTGATTGTCATATCCAGTTGTACTAAGATGAGACCAATCAGGTAGAGTTAATCACAAAAGCTCTGAACTGAAGACTGTACAGACAATTAGAACAGCTGAACAGGAAGAAGGACTAAAGCGTTTTTGTTCATCGGTTATTCTATAAACAGCAATTTTGTTTTTTAACAATACTTACAGCAGTTCAAAGAGTTCTATAAAGGGAAGCACAACAATAAAAACTTTTCATTATTGATACCCGGCCGGCCCCAAAACCAAATGTGGAAAACAGTTTGCCGTTTAGAAGGTAGGAAATATCTCTTTGAGCCACTTGTACATATGGCTGAGCCAAGCCTCTCATGCTCAGACCTATTTCACTGATTGCAGAAGAGTTCGAGAACAACTCTTTAATAAAATGCTCTTAATCCAGGCACAAAGTATTTCACGTTTTATCACGTTCTTCAGGTCAGAGTTGTTACAAACTTGAATTTGCAATTTGAAGTTCTGAAATCCTGTACAGTAGTCACAGAGTGCTTTGTTGAAAGTTACTTAACTTTAGGGTTAAAAATCCAAGCTTTTTCGATCAGTGGATCATCTGGGACCAGTAAAACATACTGCGTGGAAGTTATGTGTTAGAAATTAAAAGCTGAAAATGCCTAAAAAGCGTGAGAAGGCAGGCTAAGTGGAGGCTTAGTGAAAAATAAAATGCAACGATGGTTTAAGTAACAAAAAAGTACGGATATTATGATTCATGAGCGATTGTTTTAAGTCAGTCTTTTCAAATATACTAGAAGACTCATTATCAGGAAATTAAACATGGCCCCAAATTTAAGGTAATCCTGGCAGTTCTGTTTGCGGCTTTTCTTTCTTATGTATGGTTAACGTGTTCAAGTCCTTTAAAGGAATTCTTTTTGGAAAGTTCTTAGAATCAAAGTTACAGCCTTATTATTGACTTAGTCTGTGGAGTATAACAACGAAAAAATGGAGTTAAAGTTTAGTTCTAATAGAGCTATTTGTAGGATTGGTGAAAAATTTTCAAATGCTATTTTCACGGCGTCAAGGTAGTTTAGATTAGCTATCCTTTGACAGTAGATTTCTGTGTGACTTTACTCATTTGAAGACTTGTGCGACGGCTGACTTTTGGAGACTTGTGTTAAGTTTGAGAAATATTCTGCTTCAAAGTAACGTAGAAGCCGATAAAAGTGCATCGTTCCAGTTTATGATATAATTGAGAATAGGGGAACACGTTCTAAAAGCCTCTTTTTTTTCAATATTAACCGTTGGAATAATTCTTATTCAGATAAGTTTAGAGAGAGTCGTGGAAATATAAACTAAGAAGCATAAAATATTAATAACATATTTTTCCTGTGCTGTAATTTAGCCCTGTCGTCTCAGCTTGAGCGTTTTGAAAGGAACAAATGCACCAAGGGTCATCAGTACAATGCTAACAACAAACCGACCGACTGCATCTGAAAATTTCCGTGCATAGTCGCCGGCCGAAACAGAGTTCGCAATTATTTCAATTCCCTCAAAGATTTTTTTTTTTTTACCAGAAAATGTGTTATCTCAATGTAAGCTCGGTTTGCGTTTTTCTTCGGGGCATCTTTCCATGCAAAGGTGATTTGCGATAATACTGACCGATTATCGAAAAAGTTGTAAAGGAATCACGTTGCTTTAGAACCGAAATACTGTAATACGAAATGTATACATTTTTAACAAAGAGTACCGGTGACATCGAGCAATTTAAAAGGTTCACTCTCGGCGTGAGAATGCCTTAAGCCAATATCGGTAATCTTGTTTGAGACAGACCCACATGTAGAGCTACTTATTGATAAATAATTTTCATTTCACATAGTACTGTTTCCCATGGTGTTTTTGCATCCCCCAGAATTCAGCGACACATCCAGGTCCTTTTGTGTAGCCAACCGCGCTAAATTTGAAATCTCATCGGCGAGAACATGTCAAACGATAGAGAAAATGACCTGAAATTGTCGACCAAGGCTTACTATTTTTTTATTATTTGACGAAACTGCTTCATATTCATTAGTTTTAGCATATGGCTTTTATATAAAAGGTATTAATAAAATATATTTTACAATCGTAGAGTTTCCAGTCCCCCTATAAGTTCTGATATTTTCTCCTTGAAATTGTTTTTTTTTTGCCACTCGTTAGTATGGAAAGTCGCTTTTGATTTACATTAAGACTTGATTTCTCATGAAATGAATCCAAATGTTCTTTTTTAGCATATGGTTATGGTAGTCTGACACTTAAGGAAGCCTCGTACAAATTTTCGAAGGATTTTGACGATTGGAAGTTCTGGTTTTTACCTAAATCCTGAAACGACTTCTTGTCACTTTCTTGCTTTGCCCTTGTAGATTCCGAGGGGAACTCGACTGCCCGAGTTCAAAACTCCCGCTCGCATATTTAAAATAACCATTGCGAATCTGACGACAGAACGCTCTATAAAGAGCGAGAATAAGACATCACGTCTTTTAGACACATTCGACGCACTTAAAATAACTTTAAAACTATCTAAACCGGCACTGTTAAAACGCGGTAGTTTTATTGTTATCGCTATTGTTTTCATTGAACAAAGACTGAATTCATAATTAATGTATGGGGTTATATGGTACTCTTGCCGTAATTTCTTATATTTTGTCATTTTTAAACTTAAATTAACCGTATCTTTGATACACATTTTCGCAAAGTCTTGATATTTTAAACTTTGTCTCTCTTCACTGTAAAGGAGCATAGTAGGAAATAAATGAGTTATTTTCGAAATATGAAAATTCAAACATGGCTCCGAATCAAGGGATTAAAAAAAAGAAATTAATAATTTATCCCTCGACCTCAGTTTTAATATATAGAAAATGGCCTATTTCACCCTTTACATTTACTTGTTTTAGTTGTTTAATTTCCCTGAAATTTTGCAGTTTGTTTTCTAATTCGGTGATCCTCAGCAGTTTTACTTGATTCAATATTGGAATTATGGCAGCAGTATGAAAAGGAATGAAGTAATTTACTAACTGTTTAGTATTGCAAAACAAAGAAAACTTTTTAGTTACGTTATTTACGCCAGCCACCAGGAAAATGTTACCAAAAACAAAAGAGACTTACGTCTTGTAATGGACGCAAACGAAGTATTAACGAAAGTGTAAGCAATTAGGCTCTTAACTCGGACTCTAGTAAAATTCCGTTACGGAGGAGAATTTTAAAAGACGTTAATTATCTTTTGTAAAACAAATTTTGCATATAAACTTGATAGCAAACTTTCCATCCGGAAAAAAAGTTCCATTTTCAACTGTTGCTGTGTTAATTTGATCAGAACCTACAGTTTTGTTGCTTGATATGACGCCATCATTTTATTCTCTATATACTCCCCTTGTCAACAACTTTTAGGAAAATAACATGTTGTAGTGGACATGATGTTTTTGATAACTGGCGAAAACTGTTTATTCATTCTATTTAGGCTATTACTTCTACTACTACCATTGCTCATTATACTCAATTGAATTTAAAGCAGGCAGTTTAACCCAAGCGGTTCAATTGAAAACATGTGGTGGAAACTCATATTCTATCGTACTGGCCTTCTTACTGGCCAGCGGTTCTGCTCAGCAGTGCAGAGAAGAAAGGAGCATAAATGGAAAGGCACTGCGAGGATTCATCTTCCAAAAACTTTTGGTTACATCCTTTGATCAATGTAATATCAATTGTGAAAGGGAAATTACCTGTCAGAGCTTTAATTTCGTGACTGAAGAACACTCTTACGTTCTAAAAAATTGCGAACTGAACAACCGAACCAAGGAGGCGAGACCTGAGAATCTCCGTTCAGATCCTGATAGGGTTTACATTCGACGCCTAAACGGCAGGGGTATGTAAAAATATCTAAATTCACCTATTTTTGATGTTCATAAACCATTTCTGTGGTTCACAGTTATCATCCTGATCGCAAATTTACTCAACAACATACTCGTGTGGAAATGAGTGCTGAATATAACATGTTTGAAAATCTACACTTTTTGAAATCACTTTGACAGCTTCCTTGGGATCCACCGTAGAGCTTCCTGCAGAGTCATGTCGGGAAATAAAGGCAAGTGAAGGCACAGACGCTGTCAGCAAAAAGTACTGGTTGGATTCATCTGGAAGTGGAAAGGCTGTTTTGGTTCATTGCAACATGGAAATGGAAGGTTTATGTACCCAATTTTTTTTTATCTATAAGCAACTCCTTTTAATCTTTATCATTTACATGACTTTGTGTTTCTTCGAATATAATTACCACAATCGTTCAGTTTAACTTTCTTTTATTGCCAGATATCGATGAATGTATCAGCGGCAGTCATGACTGTCACGTAAATGCCACATGTATCAACACCATTGGCTCACATAATTGTACATGCAACGAAGGATTTACTGGAGACGGACGCATTTGTTCAGGTACCGTGTCAGACAATCACGATATTTTTTCCATGTTTCAGTGTTGACGACTTAACTTTGAGGCGAAAAATGTCAACATTGAGCTATATCGAAGAAGAAAAACACTTTGCCTTAACTCGGACGGAATCAATTGTTAAGAAGCGGGTCAGTGAGGAAATTTGTTAGAAATTCGGAATTGATTTAGATGGACTGAAAAGTTTATATGTCATACAAGATAATTCCTTGTGCTTTTTTTCTCTCGCTTAAAGCTAAATTTACTATCATACAATACAATTTTGTAAAATATTGTTCAATAGTGTCCGAAAAGGGGATTGCAAGGTCGATGATTTGGCCATGTAGATACAATATATGGCAAATTCGTCGCAATTTTTTAATCTAATGCAACTACTGATGCCGGAAGTATAACGGTATCTTACAGTAAGGAGATAAATACCGAGAGCTGTTCGTTTTTCCTCGGAACCGATGGCGAACAAAATCACAAGTACTTATAAGAACCGTTAAATTGAAGGTTGAAGCTTGAAAGGTGTCTCTGTTATAACTGGTTATTCAAACTTTGAAAATTGATAAATATCCAAGTTTTCCCCTATTCATAGCTTTCCAGAAAAACTGTGCTGAAATCTACAAATCCGGTAACACAACTGACGGTGTCTACAACATTAAACCTGATAACGTGTCTACATTTGATGTATTCTGTGACCAAACGACGGACGGTGGAGGATGGACTGTGTTCCAGAGGAGACTGGACGGCTCGGTTGATTTCTACCGCAAGTGGTACGATTACAAACAAGGTTTTGGCAACATGAATGGTGAATTTTGGCTGGGACTGGACAAGATTCATCGTTTGACCTCAAATAATTACAACATCCTGCATGTGGATTTGGAAGACTTTGACGGGCATACTCGTTACGCCGAGTATAACATGTTTGGTGTTATGAATGAAAATCACAAGTACAAGCTGATCCTTGGTGATCATTCAGGTAAAACAGTAAGTTTTGTAATTTTTACATAAGGAAAGGAAGGGCAATGTCATAATCGATGTGCTAGTAAATTTCAGGGCTTGGACGAAATGAGAGAAAAGTGATCGAGCTTGAGGAAAATAAAAGAGGGATTTCGGCTGGACGCGTTAAGCCGATGCCGTCCTTATACTCAGTTCGTTTTGGCCAGCTATTTACATTTCGAGTCTCTGAAGATGGATCGTAAATAGCCCAAGGGTAGTTTGATTGGTATGTTAGACGTTAGAGTATAACCTTCTGAAACGATTTGCATAACTTATTTGCATAACTTATTTGCATAACTTATTTGCTAAAGTGTATCAATTAAGAAAGTCCTAGTTTCAGTCACATTCGGCCAACTGGAACAGTAATATTTTCAATTTGAATCTCGTAACGTTTTTCGCATATGTTCGTGACATTTGTAATTTTCGTGTTAGGGACTGTTCCTGATTCTCTTTCTTATCATCGTGATCGACCATGGAGCACTCGAGATCAAGATAATGATGAGCGTGGAAATGGTAGCTGTGCCATTTTGTTCAAAGGAGCCTGGTGGTATGGCAGGTGTCACCAATCCAATCTGAATGGTTTGTATCATGATCAACCTCACTCCTCCCAAGGCGCTGGAGTACAGTGGACTAACTGGAAGGGATATCACTACTCCCTTAAGAGAGCCGAGATGAAAATAAGACCAGAAGTTTTCTCTCCTCAATGATTCTAAGTATTCCAAAAGCCTTTGGCCAACAGCCGTAACCATTTCATATTTAGAGTTTAAGAAAAACGATTGACTCTAAAAAATCTGTTTGGTGGTCTCTAACATAAATATTATTTTCTGTTTAAATAATGTTATTTACACCAAGTAACTGAATGATGTGCCTTCTTTCAGTTTTAGTTGCTTACTTGCGTTTTTTAATGCTTTTGAGCGAGTTTCTTGTTCTGCGCGGTTTCGCTTTAGTGATGAATGATGGTTTCTATTATGTTTTTGAACCAGGAAAAATAGATTCTGTAGAGCGGATCATTTACATGATACGAACGAATTGATTGCCCCTTACTTTTTTCTGAACTCTTATGAGCACTATGTTATATTTACTCGTGTTTGCTTTATCAAATAGTACTGTTATTCTAGTATGTGCCACTAATGAAAACTATCACCGATGGAGCAATGTTGCGTTCTTGGTTCAAGTTGACAAAAAGTCAGTGCACACGCCGATAGCATCTGTTTACATTGAAGAGGACATGTTTTCTTCTCGTCATCTTCAAAGAATAAATGTAGTTTGTAGTTTTTCAAAAGAACGACGAAACAGAAAGCAATAGAATAGTCTTCAGTCTTGTAGGAACGCAAATTTTGGAAGCTAAACGGACAATTTGAAAAGATGTAAAACCTGGCATATCACTTTTATTAATTCCGCGCGAAGATATGACAATATTGTATAGGTCTAAAACATCATACGCGTCACAGTTAAGATGTTTTCTATGTCAACTGCAATGTGGCATTTTTAAATATATATATACTTCAATAAGCTCTCGCCATAGTTAGGCTCTCGCAGAGAGAAGGAAAAAAATTTACAGGAGTTCGTAGGCTGTAATAATAATACTGTAGATGTTGCAGGTATCATAATGTGCAAACAGAGAACTGATTTTTTTTAAAAGTGTCGTTTTGTATCTTTACTAGCTTATCGAAACAGATAACGATCTATTGATACCCAGCCATCATTCAGGAGACGAAATATGTCCACATTCTGATTTTCATTTTCTTTTTTCATTCATTACTATCACGAAACACACAAAACCACAGTGTTAAGTCTTTCAAGACTGAAGTCAGAAAAGTAGATATTTAAAGCTTCAGATAATTTTTAACTCTGCTGATCATGATTTTAATGCGCAGTATCATCAAGAGATTATCATATATTGCTTGCATTTATCCACATCCTGTTTTACATGTAAATAGCTCGCAACGTTAATGATAGACATATCCCACCAGTAATCATTAGAATATCTATATTGTCACCCCCAAGGTCAATGGTTTCCTTAACGCTCATCTGTACATAATGCTTCATACTGAGTTTGTAAAAATTCTAAATGTAAGTATGAGTAGGTGAGAATAAAACATGAGTAAGCTTAAGGGGTTGTATGTCAACTGCTGTGTTGAGATATATCATTTGATTAGGAGGAAAGGTCACAAAAATTATAGAATCTCCTGAATCATATTGCGGTGGATTGTAGGAAGGCGAACAAATCCATTCGCAAGAGGAGAGAGTGATCACCAGGCAGGGTTCATCATTACCATTCTTTTATAGTCATATGCATAACAAGCCAGCTTTTCATATTCATCGCAAGTCAAGTGTCGATTTCTCACATTCTATCAAATCGTATCGTTGCGTGGAGGACAAAATCATTCCACTGAGAAAGAATCATTACAGGCTACTTTGTGGAAAGTTAGGGTTTTACTGATGAAACGAAAAGCGAGTTACTGGGTTCTCTTTCATAGGTTTATGTGATATACAGTTTGTCGAATGCCGATCGATGATGAAAATGATGTCATTAATAGCGCCCTGTAAAGGGGCTAACGTTCAAAACAGCATACTTCGAAACACTTAACGGGATCGGTTTACATCATCCACTCCGCTGAGTTCACCAAATAATCGTTTGGTTAATAACAGACTGTTTTAGCAAGAAGGACTCGATCGCAAGTAAGGACTTCGCGCTCGATGGAAAGTATCGCTAAACGCTCAATAGTATAACAGTATCTCATTCTCTTAACACTGAATATTTTATCATCACTCAGGCCGAAGGCCTCCTGGGTGAAAGGGACCTCGAATCAGTATATCTCCATTCTCCCTGAAGCTTTTGAGCCGTTTTAAATATCCATAAAGGACTCCTGCTCATATTTTATGTATTACTTATAACAGCTGAACAGGAAGAGGGACAAAACATAGTTACAGTAGTCCAAACAGTTTTATACAGAAAAGCACGACAGACACCATAAAGTTTACACTATTAATACCCTCAAGAACAAAACCAAGAACAACAAACAATTTGCCATTTAGAAAGTGAAAAATATCTCTGTGAGCTACTTATACGTATCATACTTCGACCAATTTTGTAGATTGCAGAAATGTCCTAGAACAATTCTGTGGATAAAATACCGTCAATCACAGCCATACGGTATTTAAAATTTTATCACAAAGTCATTCTCTGGTCATAGTTGTTACAAAAATGGATTTTAGTTTGAAGTTGTCTAATGTCATCAGGTAGTCACAGAACGTTTTGCAAGAAAGCTCTCAAGATTTAGGGCTAACTCTAAGCTTTTATGGACCACAAACAGTCCCTACTTTTGGCTCATCCTCGGTGTAAAGACCTGTGAAGCTCACGAGTGACGTAAAACAGAGACAACAAAACATTATAAAAAATAGCGTACAGCTAAACAATACCTCATAAAACAAAGAAAACCTCGTCAGCTTTTTACACCGAGGATGACCCCTGCTTTTCGGCGATGTCCGTCGCACCTGTCAGTGAAAAAAAAAAAAGTTGATGTACGCTTGTGCGTTTCGGGAAACTCTTAAAGTTACACCGATGGGTAGCAGGGGCTCCATGAGGGGGATGTCTCACTCACTGAGCTCTTGTCTTCGTATCGGCGTCACTTTTAGAGAAAAAGTCGCACCGCAGGAGTGCGCACTAAAGTTGGATATAGGAAATTATCATAGGAAGGGGGGTATGTATGGGGAATTAGCTCTCTGAGTTTATATTCTCCTTGGGTGGAGTTATTAATGCTATGGCAACATTCCCGATATTTTCCTTAAAATTTCCTTGCCATTGTAAACTCACCCACAAAAATGAATTTTTGTTGTGAAAACCTCCTAAGTAGATCAAGCGTTGGATGTTGTCCTTAATCATGAATAGCATAGTGTTTATAAAGTCAAACGTGTAAATCAAGTGAGGCCAGGTATGCTACGATAATTTAGTTTTCCGAGCTTTCGCTAATCTACGGCATCATCAAGGAGTTCCCTGATGATGATGTAATCGGCGAAAGCTCGGAAAACTTGATTATCGTAGCATACCTGGCCTCACTTGATTTGCACGTCTCACTCCTAGGTAGAATTGAGTTTTCTAGAGATGAAACCCCCTTTAGAGAAGACTCTGTAAGGTTTTTATGTATTAAGATAGGGTGGCTTAATGAGCTTCTTTACCAGATCAAAATAAGAAATTAGGACGAGTAAGCGAAAACAATTAAGTTGATTCGTTTTGTCAACCACAGGAGACGATTGTACAAGAGCCTGTTTTTCACTCATTTTCCAGCTTATATAAGAGGTATGTTTTCACTTCGGTCCTCTTCTTATAATCTTCGCAGTAATTACATACTGTCACTTAGAAAACCTAGAACAACTAGTTAAATGATGGCCTTAATTCGTTTTCATACTTCTCAGCTAAGCTATGGAATACACTGCCTGACTATATCCGCATGAGTGCATTTAAAGACCTCAGAAAGATAATCCAAGGCCGTATCTTTGTATAGTCGCTCCCGCTTATCTTCACTTTTCTGTTAATTTCCACTAATATGTTACATAATTATATTTCTAAATACTGTACATGCATTTTAGTATAGTTAGTATTTTAGATTTTGTACAGATATATGTATGAATATATATAGATAATCTCCATTTTATGTTTCTCGAAGATATTAGCTCCAACAAGCTACTCTAAAATTCGAGATGAAATAAAGTTTATGATGATGATGATGATGATGATGATGAAGCATCATCTTCAAGGACCCAATACCAAATATGGCCATGAAAATTAACATGATCAAAAGTGTAGAGGCTTCTAATGAAAGGAGCTGCAGAGCCGATGTGTTACATGGAGCCTAATTGTGTGTCCATCAATATTGGACCTGCAATTGAGGAAAACCAAAAATCTGAGTTAAACAACGCAACGGAGGAAAACCATGCTCCATTTCTCCTTGAGAATAAACCAGGTTACACATATATTGGAATTGAGGTAACATTTCATATTCTTACAAAACTGAGGGGAGTAAGACAGTTGTTTGTTTTTTTTTTTTTAAGACTTAAGTGATCTCATTCTTGATATAAAGAAATGTTACACGAAATTTACTTTGTTTTAACCAACAGAATCCCTGCAGCATCGGTCCATGTTTGAACAATGGCACCTGTCAAGCCGGATTCGCCAGTAGAGGTTTTCGTTGCGTTTGTCTGGATGAATTCAGTGGTGAGATCTGCCAATTCAAAGATAGGATAAATTGCGTTTTTTTCTAAACTGAAAGAGATACGTTAACTCTCTTTACTCCGGCGGCAGTTTCAGTTTTATCCAGTGTCACTTGTGTGCGCGGCATTAAATCTGATAATTTATTGACAGCCGAAATCTACAAATCAGGCAAAATAGCCGACGGAGTGTACACCATTAAACTAATGATTTGCCTGCCTTTCGTGTATTTTATGACCAAACAACAGCCGGTGGAGGGTGGACAGAGTTCCAGAAGAGACTGGACGGCTCGGTTTATTTATACCGTTAATGGAACGACTATAAATGTGGCTTTGAAGACCTGGATGGTGAATTTTGGCTTGGACTGGACAAGATAAATCGCCTGGCCTTGGATAAAAACAACATGCTGCGTGTGGACTTTCAAGACTTTGAGGGGAATATACAATATGCCGAGTATAAAAAGTCTGGCGTCATGAGTGAGAATGACAAGTACAATCTGATTCTTGGTTCTTACTCAGGTAAAACGGTAATTTTCCCCTCATCATTTCTGCCCCCCTCCCCCCCTCATCCCATGTTACGTGGGGAGTGCGAGTTACTGTAAAGAGGCTTGAACCTTTTATATCGATGGCTTTCGAAGAAGAAAAATTGAAATATCCTCAGCTCACGTTAATGAAATCTAGATCGGCGTAAATCTAAAGGTATTCGCTGGTGGATTAATGAATACTGTTCTTTATGTTAGGAAATTCTGGAGACTCTTTCCGCCCTTTTCATGGCAGCATGCCATTCACGACTTAAGATCAAGATAACGATCAATGCCCCAACTGTAACTGCGCCTTTTCGTACAAGGGAGCCTTTTGGTTCAAGCGTTGTCACATCTCAAATTTGAATGGTTTGTATCTTCGAGGCAAACATTCCTCCTCTGCTGATGGTGTGAACTGGAAAACCTGGAGAGGATATCATTACTCCCTTAAGAGAACCGAAATGAAGATAAGACCAGTTGATTTCTGAACTATGACAGTACCGAATCAACAAGAAAACGAGTGTCTGGATCCAGCCTCTTAAGAGTTAAATAATCACTTATTAGTTGGTGCTTGCCGATATATTCGTTGAGTTGTTCCCGCCTAACTTACTTAGACTTTTTCTTGCTTCTTGGCGAGTCTCTCCTTGGAATTTATTGAGGAATGGATGATGGTTCCTTAGTGCTACGTCTATAAGATAAGAAAATTTATTTAGTCGGATGGATCATAGTCTGATAGGGCACTGGAATGCGTTTGACCGGTCTCTGAAGTTTAATGAGCATAAGGTAGCGTTAACTAATCTTTTCATTACACTAAAGGTGATTGAGGTATATTCTACAAGCCAGAAACTGAATCACTAAAGAGCAAACTTTTGTCTTCATAGTCCGAGTTAGCGAAAAGTCATTGTGAGAGTGATGGAGCCAGATATCAGCTCTGTATTGTGTCTCAATAATACAAGATTTGATTCTTTAAGTTTTTGACTCGTATTTCTATTAGCTTAACGAAACACAGAGCGATCACGAAACCTTTATTCTTTCAAAGCCAATGACAGCGGAGAATACCCAGCTGCTAATTTCTACTTCTATGACGAAATTAAACCTAAAACGTAGTCTTTTGTCTCTGAAGAACGCTGTCGTAAAAGAAAGTCGAATGGGCACTTAGTTTACCAGAGTGGGTAATGATTTTGATAGGCTCTGTCACATATCACTCTTGCATCTATCTGCTTACCAGTTTTTCAGAAACTCTTTACGGTGTTCAATCAACATTATCAACTCAGCTTAGAACATTAAATGAATTATGTTGTTTTCATTATAAATGCTTTACACGGATTAAATGTATTGCACCGTTATTCCCAACACCAAATTGTCATGCTTAAGGGGGCTGTTAT